CCACATGATTGTAAAGCGCTTTGGGTGTACAACAATACACAATAAAGCGCTATATAAATGCATCATTCATTCATTCTGCAATGGCTGGATCAACTTGAAAAATATGCCTTTTTAATGCTATTTGAGTGTGAGAAACCAAATCCATCGGTCAGTTCATGTCAGATTTTTTTGCTGGATTTGAAATATTTAAATGTGAATTTTCCAAGCAGTTTTTGAGAGTTCAGTATTTCCCCATTCAAGTAGATAGGTCTAGGTTTTAAATGCCCGAAATAGCTACCTGGAGGTGTTGCCAATTTGGCTGCAAAATGAACTGATTTTCCTTGAAAAGGGACTTTGCTGTTGATATGAGTGACAGAGTATTTGGGAACCTGTTTGAACAAGTCATTATTTTTGCAATTATCTTTGTTGATGCTACAGGCGCAGAAATTACACACTTAAGCTTTATTCGGCTTTCAGAATATGTATCAATCCTTTTTGAGATTCAACAAACCTCCTTCTTGACACTCTAATCATTTTCAATATATCCCTGTCTTTTCCTTAATCTCCCTATATTTCAGACTGTCATCTTTTTCTCTTTCTTTACAGGAACAATTCCGGCCCTGGCAATGACCTACATCAAGATTCCTTTTACAATATGCAAGCCTCACAATCCTCAAAATCTTGGAGCAGCCATTTAGACCACAGGTGCGCTAGGAGCCTCAGGTCAGGCGGCCCTAGCCAAAGTCCTCCTGCTCCTTACCGTCCCTGCTCTATCCCAATCATTCCCTCTGTCCACTCCTACCAGGATGAGGTCTCATGTATGCAAACCGCCCCTACTGATGGAAGCAGCCGTTCTAGTCCTCTGGAAAGCACAGCTGATGCTCCAGCTGTCAATCAACAGTCCAGCGTAATGGTCTCCAACCGAGTGGCTGGTAGACGGGAGGAAGTGGCCTCACTACTCGACGAGGCTCAGGAACAACTCAGAGCACTAGCACATGCCCAGAGGAAACAGGAGGACATCAGTAGCTCTGTCCCTCAGGGGGCCAAAGAGACTGTGTGCATCCTTTTAGCAAATGGGGGTGGACAAGGGGGAGTGGTCTCTTTTGGGCCCACGGAGACTCAGTTAGTGAGCCCCAGAGACATGCACAAAGATGCCACAAAGACTGGCTAATGAGAAGCGGTTGACAGGACTAACCACAAATGTCCCGTGTGTCTTGAGGCTTCAGAATTCTCTGCCAAAATTGGGATACCACTGCAAGCTACCATTAAATTTCTGAGGACCTGCTGTGAGTAGAAGCGTGGGAGAGTGACAGTCTCGAACATGTGAAAAGATAATTTATTTATATGCATTTATTTAAGGAGAAACTTCTACTTAGAAAAAGAAACCAAATAGTCTGTCATCTCCATGGTGTTTTTAACTGTATAAAATATACATAAATATATATAAATGGATATAAATATATTAATTCAAACTGGTGACCAAGTACAAAAAAGGAATATGGGATTAAGAAACTTTCTTTTGTAACGTATCAGCTCCACATCCTTAAAGATGCGATGCTCGGTGGTAAAAAAAAAAATTACAAAACAAAAAGGAGTTTTTTCACTCGTTTCACTCATTTCCAATCAAGCTATCTTCAATCTTGTGTTTTGCACCTGCAGCAGTTGTGTTTAATATCACGGTCCCAGTCACAGTCCTCTACCCGGCCAAGGAATATGGCCCCATCTTCCTTTGAAAACAGTGGAACGTGGATTACAATTGGACTAAACTTCTAAATGCTAATCGTATCCAGGCATGAGGTAACTGATAGTTAAGCACTGCCTCCAAGACATCGATTGGAAGAATTTGATGTGTCCGTCCGTTTGTGGAGCAATCTGCATTTTGTTTTTCTGTGCCTCGGCGCGTTCACTCCTTCATTTGGGTTTGGATATGAGTAAAGATAAGCTAATGGAACAGAGCACATCATACTGCACACCACCTGAGATGCACAAACAGACCGTCGACGCCTCTCTGGATGGACCAAGGAGATTCCTGCACGGGATAACAGAGAGCAAGCTTGGCCAACACAAGGAGCTTCTGTGTTTTTTTTTTTTGTTCTTACGGAATTATCTGCTGCTTTCTGGGAGCAGCAATCACTATGAGTCTGTATGCTACCTTTGAATTGGGACATACTATTTCTGTGAATTAACAACCAAATGTGGTAAGAAAGAAAAATTAACAATTAATCTTTGGTGAAGATGTTTCTTTGTTTCCAATGTTTTTTGTTTTGTTCTGATCCCCAATTCACACAATTGTGCATCTTGATGGTATTGATTTGCAGAACCAAGCCATGACAGTTAAAATGATTTATAGAAAAGCCCCACAAAGAAGAAACTGCATTATAATTGACCTGCATCTGCTGATTACAACCGAAGTCCTGGTATAACAACACAAGTGGTCTGCTGAGTTTTATAGATCAGTCCTAATAGACCCATTTCTGAGAAATGCTCAGTGACTGCATTATACTGAATTGACTTTTTTTTTACGTGTTGTTGTTTCTACTCAAGCATTTATTTAAGACCTCCACCTGTAGTTTTAAGACCTTCTTTAAAGCGCGATGCATTTGTCCTCCATCAGAGTTTGTGTCTACCGTGCCATCCAAAACTCGAGGCTGAGATGAAATGAAATATCTCCTGGTAAAAGAAAGCAAGGTAAAGGTTAGCCTGTGGCAGAAAGGAGCTGTGAGGGCAGACAGATAAGACTCTCACTTGGTCTTATAACACCTTCCCCTAGCAAAAGCACTGACCTCATCAGTGAATTGCAGTGTCTATCAAGATAATCAAGCATCCGAAGTAATGTGACAGTATTGCTGTAAGGGAAAGACAGGATAGATTTAGATCTCAAAGCTACACGATTTCTTTATCAAACCATTTAAATTTTAATAATAGAAAATATTACATTGCAACTATTAGTTGTCAGGGGCGATTCTAGGATTTCAGTTGGGGGGCTTCAGTTTGAAATCAGCTGTTGGTAGACTGTCATTTTTATTTTTTAAACCAATTAAAATGGTATGTTTGTTAATATGAGCATTCGTGATTTTTTTAATTCTATGTATGCTCACATTATGCATCTCATTTTATTGGCATGCAGTAGATAAGCAGAAAAATCACACATCCAACAAAGATGATACCATGCACATTGCCACAGTGATCTATAAAATGGCAGACTAATTCATATCCAGGACATAAACTGTCCATCTGTTACAACTATTAATGTTCATTTTCATTTGAAATGGTGTGAGAAGGTTTCATTTGAGCTAGACCATATTTTGTATACTAGTGCTTAAGTATATTCAATTATGTTTTTGCACAATGTATGGTATTTTATGCTGTCATTATTCCAGAGTGTAAGGTATGTGACTTGATGAATTTATTACAGAAGACAGTATATTGCAAGACGTTTTGACAGAAAGTGCAAGCTGCAACTGTGCAAGAAGGTGTAACACGAGCACAACGAAACTGTATGGTTCTGTATAACAGCCCCTTGATGTACTTTAATGTGCAATTTCAAAATTGAGAAATTAAATTTCTGTTTATTCTTGTATGTGAGAAACTGCATTATTGAACTCCCAATTGAAATAGTATTTTCTTTTCCTTTAGTTCATTTTTTTATTTTTTCAATAAAGATGAATCTTCAGTGTCAATAATGTTAGAATGAGTGTTTTTTAACTAAATTATTAAATATAAATCATCAGATTCAAATAGTGTTATTTTAGTATTATTTATATACTAATATGTATTTCTCCGTTTTTCTCAATTGCTTTTGTACATTTCTCAGATTGCAATTGAAATTCTCAAAAATACATGTTCAACCGCCACATCATCTCGTCACCTGTGCACATCACAATATTGATCAAAGTTGATCAATATATTATACTGGTTCTGTTACCCCGCAAAACTTCTAGGCATTAGTTCATTGCATAAGTCATCAAATGCAAAATGGATGTTGACAAATTGTCAAGTATATTTTCAATACATTTCTATTAGATTTTTTTGTAGATGTGTCCTGAATTGATGAATTGCATAGGTAAATCTTGAATTTAACTAATGAAGGGGTGTAAGTAAAGTAAAGTGTTAGATCAACCAATGATCAGCCAGTTCTCTAAAATAGCTCAGAGGTGCATCTCAATGTGAAAGCATATACAGACAGAACTTATAATTTGTTACAATTTCTGACAATGCAAGAACAAAGAAACAAACAAGGTCAGAAAGAAGAAGAGTAAGGATGCGTGGTGGAAGGGTAGGGAGGCAAAACGCACATAAGCACGTTTCCAATGAAATAAGGGCCACTTTTGTGGCCCATGTTCTCAATCATGACCATACAATCGCCAAATTGGGTCAAAAGATGTAGCTGAATGTTGAAAGAACAACTGTTTCCTCAATCATTCAAGCATTTCGTAGACCGAACATGTAATTCAACAATGTGCATTTTACTGCAATAATGTATACGTACTGTAATGTTTCACATACTGTAGTCCACTTGCATTTTACGTTATACAGTAAATATACTGGTAACACTTTACAATAAGGTTCATTAGTTAACATTAGTTAAATACTTTAGTTAACATGAACTAAGAATGAACAATACTTCTACAGCATTTATTAATCTTAATGTTAATTTCAACATTTATTAAAAAGTTGTGCTTGTTAACATTAGTTAAATACTTTAGTTAACATGAACTAAGAATGAACAATACTTCTACAGCATTTATTAATCTTAATGTTAATTTCAACATTTATTAAAAAGTTGTGCTTGTTAACATTAGTTAATGCACTGTGAATTAACATGAACTTACAGTAAACAACTGTATTTTCATTAACTAACATTAACAAAGATGAATAAATATTATAATAAATACATTGTTCATTGTTTGTTCATGTTAGTTACAATTTAGTTTCAATAAATTCAGTAAATTTAGTAACAATAGTTTGTTCAATACATTAAGTCAAGTCAAGTTTATTTGTACAGCGCTTTTCACGATACAAATCATTGCAAAGCAACTTTACAGCAAATTAAGTTTCTACAATATTTAGTGGTAGCTTATCAGTGGTGACTGTCAATTAATGTACATATGGCAGAAATGTACGGAAAAATCAATTTAAGACGTAATAAAAAAGACGATGAACACTATTAACAGCAATTATAAAATAATTAAATGTGCAAAATAGCAAAATGTGGTAGTTCTGTATGTTGTTTCAGGGTTGGCATCATCTGAGGTCCTCTGAGGGGTTGGCATCATCTCTTCTCAGGTGTTCTAGATCCAGACTGAAGCTTGTGTAAATCCCCGTGGCAAAAACAGAGAAACAAATAGAGACATAATTAGCGTAGCTGCTGTTCCAACCAAGCAAAATTGATTTGTTTAACCCAAACTAAAGAATAATAATGTGCATTTGATCAGATATAACTGCAGTACAAGATTACGAGATGCATTATTTGAATGCTTGGCCAAAGAGATGTGTCTTTAATCTAGATTTAAACAGAGAGAGTGTGTCTGAACCCCGAACATTATCAGGAAGGCTATTCCAGAGTTTGGGAGCCAAATGCGAAAAAGCTCTACCTCCTTTAGTGGACTTTGCTATCCTAGGTACTACCAAAAGTCCAGAGTTTTGCGACCTTAGGGAGCGTGATGGATTGTAGCGTGGTAGAAGACTAGTAAGGTACGCAGGAGCTAACCCATTAAGGGCCTTATAGGCAAGTAATAATATTTTGTAACTGATACGGAACTTAATAGGTAGCCAGTGCAGAGACTGTAAAATTGGGGTAATATGATCATATTTTCTTGACCTGGTAAGGACTCTAGCCGCTGCATTTTGGACCACCTGTAGCTTGTTTATTGAAGATGCAGGACAACCACCTAGCAGTGCATTACAATAGTCCAGTCTAGAGGTCATGAATGCATGAACTAGCTTTTCTGCATCAGAAACAGGTAACATATTTCATAACTTGGCAATGTTTCTAAGATGGAAGAATGCTGTTTTTGTAACATGGGAAATATGATTTTCAAAAGACAAGTTGCTATCTAATATAACACCCAGATTTTTGACTGTAGAGGAAGTAACAGTACATCCGTCTAGTTGCAAATTGTAATCCAAGAGATTCTGTGTACTGTCTTTTGGTCCAATAAGTAATATCTCTGTCTTATCCGAATTTAATAGGAGAAAATGATTGGTCATCCAATCTTTTACATTTTTAACACACTCTGTTAGCTTAGATAATTTAGAAGTTTCATCTGGTCTTGTTGAGATATATAGTTGAGTATCATCAGCATAACAGTGGAAACTAATCCCGTATTTTCTAATAATATTACCAAGGGGCAACATGTATATCGAAAATAGCAGAGGACCTAGGACAGATCCTTGTGGCACTCCATATTTTACTGGTGATAATCGAGATGACTCCCCATTTAAATGAACAAAATGGTAGCGATCGGACAGGTAGGATCTAAACCATCTTAAAGCCTGCCCTTGAATACCTGTATAGTTTTGTAATCGATCTATGAGTATGTCATGATCTATAGTGTCGAACGCAGCACTAAGATCAAGTAAAACTAGCAATGAGATACAGCCTTGGTCTGACGCAAGAAGCAAGTCATTTGTAATTTTAACAAGTGCAGTTTCTGTGCTATGGTGGGGCCTGAAACCTGACTGAAATTCTTCATAGAGATAATTTTTTTGCAGGAAGGAGCACAGTTGAGCAGACACAACTTTTTCTAAAATTTTAGACATAAAAGGAAGATTTGAGATGGGTCTGTAATTTGCCAGTTCACTAGGATCTAGTTGTGGTTTCTTAATAAGAGGCTTAATAACCGCCAGCTTGAATGGTTTTGGGACGTGACCTAAAGACAACGACGAGTTAATAATATTGAGAAGCGGTTCTTCTGCCCCAGGGCCTGGCTCGCGGCGGCTGCACCGGCTGCACCCAGGGTCCGTGGTGTCCCGGCGCCGGAATGAAGGACATCTGGGAAGATCGTGCACTCAAAGGAATGTAAGCGAGATTATCGGCAACCACGCTGGCGATGCTAGCGGGCTATATGCTAATAGCAGACTCGGGAAGTCAAAATAGAACTAGTGATAACAAGGCGCTCTGATTGTTTTTGTTGTAGAATACGATAGGGGATATATTCACACGTTATAGAAACGAAAATGATGGTGTATAAAATTGATTTTAAGATAAAAAATTAGACGACAAAGAATTAACTTGACGGAGCTCAAACTCAAAACACACGGCAGCAACAAACAGGAAGTAACTTGTGCTGAAGTCAGTCACATTAACTAACATTAACTACTGGAACCTTATTGTAAAGTGTTACTGTCACAATTCACTGGGAGGAACGAGGAGAATTCACAATACAAGAGTCTTTAATCATCAAATAGGGAGACACAGAGCACAGGGATGACATTCACAAGGAGTCGATAACGAGTAGACCTGACAAACACAAACTGAACAGACTAGGACTTTTAAACACAGGGCAATCGGGAACACAGGTGACATCAATGGAGCATAATCAAACTAAACGAGGACAGGAACTTGACCAAATAAGGCAAAACAAGAACTGAAACACATGACAAAACGGGTCCAATCCTGAAAGTTACCAATATACTTTATAGATACATTCTGTAACAAAAACTGTATTGCAAATGACGTACTGAAATTTGTTGTCAGACCACCTGGCTGTAAAAGCATACTTGTGAATCCTGTCTAGTATTTTGCAATCAATAACCCACATACAGTAATGTGTACATTTGTAGTTTAAATTGATAAATGTCATACAGAAAAAGTGCAGCCTTGTGCACTTCTTTTAAGTATCAAAACCATAGTTTACATCAGGAAGTACTGGAAGAGTACATTGTTACATTTGACAACATTGCTAAGCAATTTGATATCTTGTTTGTGAACACTGACACAAGGACTTATCATTCTGATGGCACTTATACGTTCATTGATATAAATACTTTTGAGAGATGAACTAAGGATTTTGAGAAAATTGCGTGGTTCTGTTTGTACAATTTTTTTCGAGAAATGCACTTACTGGTTTGCCAATGTTATGGATGATTTGAGAAATGTACCAAATGGTGTGTGAAAAATGGTAATACTTTGAATTAGAGTCATTTCAATGAATGAAAATGCTCTATCCTGCTATCTAAAGCACATTAGGAATGTGCTCATAATCTCGAAAAATATGTGCCCCCTGCTGGTGAATAGCAGGACACAACGGTTCACAATGAGAGAGAGAGAAAAAAAACAATTATTTTGGTGGTAGTGATGAATGTTCACAAAATCTATGATTTCATATAATCTAAAGCAATATTATAAAGGCTGATGCAAGACCTAAACACAGGCAGAATTGGGTTTATTATCTCATACACACACACACACACACACACATATATATATATATATATACAGAGAGAGAGAGAGAGAGTTGAACATTTTCAGGATTTTGAAAGATCCTGGATAACATGTAAAAATAAAATAAAAAATCCCAAAGCAATTGAAGAGTAACTGTGTGAGCTTATAGGGAAAATATGCTTTAGCTTCTCCATCTTACTCCATGTTACATGTCTGTTTGTTTGTTTTTTCCACACAGTCCGGTAATATATCTTCCACCAGTTGCGTGGTATAGAAGAATCAGGATTTCATTTCAACAGCCTTGAGCACTCCCTGAAGTGTTGGGGAACACCAGACCCTTGATGTACTGAGTGAGAGAGTCCATGCTGCTGCTGTGAGAGTCAGGCTATTGATGCAGAGTGTGATTGCAGTCTGAAACATGAAGCTGTCATGAAGGTCAACAGTGACTGCTATCAAAGAAAATCCTTAGTGTAGCAACTGAAGAAACCATAAAGGGAAGGATTTGTTGATGAGAGTATAACCTTGCTGTGGGTGTTTCAATATTTATTTTATTTCCTGGCTGAATAATTAAAACATACTTGTCACTCCCAAAATTTGCATTGCAGCCAGCCAAACAGAAAGGAACTGCCATTTTTCTTTAGCTGTTGATGTATTTGAGCATAATATGCAGGGGCACCGTAATGCCCCTGCGATTTAAATGTCTGAGATTTTCAGACATTTAAATTGGTTTAATGCTGACTAAAATAAAGGACACATTCATTAGAAATCTTAGTCTCAGTTTATTCACAACTCTTCTGACATATGATCAGTGGCGACGCTATGGTTTCTTGGCCTATTGCATATTGACTCGGGTCCCCTCCGTGGTCCCCTCTCCCTCGTCCCCTCTCCCGACGAGGGAGAGGGGACCGCGGAGGGGACCCGGAGGGGACGTCACACTGATCATATGTGTCACGGTAATATAATTTGGTCTGTTTTTTGTTACTCTCAGAATAATATACATTTTTTGTTTTAAAGGATTAATTCAAATTAAAATAAAAACTCCCATGTCATCCAAGATATTCAAGTCTTTCTTTCTTCAGTCGAAAAGAAATTAAGGTTTTAGAGGAAAACATCCCAGGATTTTTGTCCAAATAGTGGACTTTAACAGTTACCAAACGGTTAAAGGTCCAAATTGCAGTTTCAATGCAGCTTCAAAGGGCTCTACACGATCCCAGCCGAGGAATAAGGGTCTTATCTAGCAAAACGATCAGTCATTTTCTTAAAAAAAAATATACATTTATATACTTTTTAAAAACAAATGCTCGTCTTGCTCTAGCTTAGCTTGCGCAGGCGCGTCTTTACATATTACGTAATCCGGTTGGAAAGGTCACGCACGGTTAGCTCTTCGTTTGTGTACTCCGGTTCCTCATTTTCTCCTCCAACTTCAAAATCGACCGACATCGTTGTTTGACCTTTTTTTGTAAAGAGCATTTGACTTTCTTTGCACGTTTGCTTTGTAAACACTGGGTCGTGCTTCCGCCTACTTCACGCGTGACCTTTCCAACGTGATTACGTAATGCGTGAAAGTCGAGCTAGTGCACGACTAGCATTTGTAGTTAAAAAAAGTATAGACATTTTTTTTTGTTTTTGTTTTACAAAATGACTGATTGTTTTGCTAGATAAGACCCTTATTCCTTGGCTGGGATCGTGTAGAGCCCTTTGAAACTGCACTGAAACTGCACTTTGGACCTTCAGCCCGTTGGTTCCCATTGAAGTCCATTATACAGAGAAAAATCCTGGAACGTTTTCCTCAAAAACCTTAATTTCTTTGCGACTGAAGACAGAAAGACATGAACATCTCGCATGACATGGGGGTGAGTAAATTATCAGGAAATGTTTATTCTGGAAGTGAACTAATCCTTTAATATGAGGATCTCTGCAGAAGAAAACATCTTGGGACACATAAAATAAACCAAGATTTCAATTCGGCAAACCATGTCTTTAACATTCCACACACAAAACACGACAGTGGCAGTCAAAATCAAATCGTTAAAGAAAGTCATCATCAAATAACTCAAAGGAAACAACAAACAATGCCAGAGGAAATAATGTTTTAAGCAGTTTACAATAAGGCTGTGATTTACATGATTTATTCATGCTGTGGCACATGCTAGTCCAGCATCCAGGGCTGTAGATATCCAACACACATTCATTACCTTGTCCCAGACAATACATCCATGGCAACATAATCAAGTCTGATCGCACAAAATTTGTTTTAGTCAGTTGACATTAGGGTTACTTTGCTTATACTTGGTTTGTTCTTCACATTTAATCATTTTAACTCTCATCACAACTGCCTTCAAGTCTGGGCCACACATTTAAACCTTTTGGAATTGTTATTATTGAAATAAATGCAAGGAATGTAAAAAAAATTATTACTAATAATAATTTTTGAAAATAACAGTTTTCTTACAGATTCTTAGAAGCATGGATGGATGGATGGATGGATGGATGGATGGATAGATAGATAGTCTTCCAAATATTTACAAAGTGCTTTGAAGCCGCTCACACAGAGTTAAATAATCATAATTTATACATAAATAACAAGGAGAGTTGTTTAGTTCCAACAAAGTTTGTTTTGAAGGGAAATATCATTCTCAAGAATAATTTTGGCTTATGTGTTGTTAGAACGTATTATTTGTTGAGTGCTGAGATCAGAATTATCTATAGCATGGTTTGTTTCTAACACTCATTAACACTCTGTTAGCTGCTGTCAACCAATTGTTTCCTATTTTATCATTAGCTGTAATTTTGTTTGCATGTTAATTAGGGGTGGGTCCTGAGGTAACTATAGCAACCCTGCACATTAAATAATCTAACAACCTAGACTTCTTGCATCACTCTTTTCGCTTCACTCTTTAATTGATTAAACTTTTTTTGTATACTTTATAATGTCTTTCAATTCAAACACATTTAATACAATCATGCAAATAAAAATTTCCTTTAGAGACAATATTTTTTTACCAATACTTATTCCTCATTTTTCCTTCTACTTTCTCTTCCGTTCACTCTTTTTTTTTTCCTTCCTTTTTTCCCCTTTACTGACTAATGCATTCAAATACGTTTCGCAACCCAGGTGATAAACCTAATGGTGATACAGTTCATCTGAGATGTTTTTAAAAATTCAAAATATTTTGTAGCCATATACTATGAATCACCAAATCCTCCTCTCTGTGAACTGGGTAAACAGAAGCTAGCAGATATCACAGAAAGCGTCCACTTTATTTCCAAACCAAGTATAGTTCCACCATTGCAGTTCCAAAAGGATCAGCACTCATAACCCCTTTTACACCAAACCACTTAGTAAAGTCATCACTCATGGCTAGCTCTCATAGCTTCTCCCATCTTTCTTTTGCAGATGATATTGAATTAGTTCTCTCTATTCCACCCTCTGACAACCAGATACCCTCATGAATCACTGCATGTCTGCCAAGCATTTCTGCCTGGATAAACAAGCCGAATTTATCAAAAACCAAGTTGTTATTCATCTGGCCGAGAACCACCCTTGCCAAGACCTTGTCATTTCAATAGAAAACTCAGCCATCTCACCCACTCATAAAGCCAAGAATCTTGGTGTCACACTGGACAATAATCCCCTTTTTCAGAAGTATTTGATTGTCACTAGGTCGTGTACTAGCTGTATTAGGCTTATTATACTCATACCATTTGTTTGCG